AGTTCAAAGCAACATGCAAATAGCTGATGTATTTTAAGAAGAGCTTCATTTGATGAGCATCTCCTAGGTATGGGCAAAGCCAGTGAACCTTTTTGTGATTTAAACTTCATATTCCATGTGATGCTAACAGCTACTCTATGTGGTGCATATGACCATTTCTAGAACAGGAAATCAAGATTCAGGGAAGGTAAGCAATTTGTCTAAGGTTGCACAGTCGATAGGTAGCAGAACCAAGCTCCAAACCCAGATCTGGCTCTAAAACCCATGCCTTTAGCCACTTACGCTGTACCGCCATCTCTCTGCCAAGGTGGGGTGGGGGCAGACATGCAGAAGCCAGTTTCTTTTTTTTTTAAGATTGATTGATTGATTGATTGGTTGATTAAGAGAGAGAGAGCGTGAGAGGGGGGAAGGTCAGAGGGAGAAGCAGACTCGCTGCTGAGCAGGGAGCCGGATACGGGACTCCATCCCAGGACTCCAGGATCATCACCTGAGCCGTGAGCCCAAGGCAGTCGCTTAACCAACTGAGCCACCCAGGCACCAGGCCAGTTTCTTTTTGAACGCTCCAAGCTGCCTTATTAAGGAATTCTGCTCACAGAGGATATTTGCTAGTTTTGCCAGATGGCTGCAGCGCAGGCCCAAAGACATGAAGGCATAGGCAGACCACCATGGCGTGCCCCTGCAGTTGGCAAGCCTGTTGTTATAACCTAGTATCTTCTTACAGGGAAACTTCCCTTAGCTCCACTTCCCCTTCAAACCCTTAGCCCTCAGCACAGAGGAACTGCATCATGGAAAATTCATGTGGCTATTGCTTTAGGTTTTTCTAAAAGGAGCTTCCCTGTCTATTTGTGTGTATGTGGGGCTCTGACCTCTAGAGTCAGCCTCAATCTCAGTCACTCCCAAGGCCTGATCCCACGAGACCTGTTCAGAGAAGAGCAGCCTCTTGTGGATACCAGCGTAATTTAGACCCATCCCAAAGCTGCCTCCTTGTCCGGCTCCTCTGCTGTAGACACTCTGGGCCTGGCTGTACAGGATGCCCTACAGCTTTCTGAATGCACCGTGGCATTTTAGGTCTCTGGGTCTTCCCACGTGCTATTCCTTCTGTCATCCTCCTAACTCTGCGTCATGGTAAACGCTTCCTCTGGGAAGCCTTCTCCGCTCTTCTCAAGCTGAATCCCTTTTTCTGTGTTCTCACTATTCGGGGCTTATCTCCTATTGCAACATTTACCAAGAACGGCCAAGAGTAAACGTCTCTTTTACTAGACTATAATCTGTTCTAGGGACCATGTTTTAGCCAGCACCAAACATAGTACTTGGTTTATAGTGGGTTAAATGGTTAAAAGTACCTCTTCACTTGCTAAGCCTTGAAGAGTAGTGGGCAGTAAAGAGTTATGCCATCCTCTCTCACAGGCATCCCCCCTCACCCGGAGACCAGGTAACTCTAGTAACTCTAGTCCATTATAGCAGAGTCTAGAAAAATAAGTGTACGCGCAAGCCTAGACCCGTGAGGAAGATGCTGACAGCTCTGGTGTATTTTGGGACAAGAGTCTCAGCCTGTCTGGGGCAGTGAGCTGTTTCCTGCATACTTGAAGCCTTGAGATCAATAGAGATTAATTATTGATAAATTCTGACAGTGAAGGGGGCGTGCCAGTAATCCCTCCTGCCTGGGGGACCTTAATCCTCTTGTTGCTAACAACCAACTGGTTTGGGAGCAGTGAATTGCCCTCTTGAGATTCTAAGGAGGCCGTTCAAGGTTAGAGCACCAGACGGGAAGATGAGCATTGCCTAGAGTCTCTCTTTTCTTGCTAGGATCTAATCTGTGGAGGTCCTGGCCCTGCCCCTCCCCTGCTCCATAACAGAAAGGGCTGATGGGGCCTTTCAGGGTTGAGGTCCTGTGGAAGCAACCCTCTGTTCCTTAGAAGCAATGGACTCTATAGCAGGAGGGGATGGGGGAGCCAAAGTGAGTGCAGGGGAAAAAATGAAGCTACTGGGCATTAGAAAAAAATTAAGAAAAAGAAAAAAGAGATTTCTGTGCATTAACATTTCATAAACTGATATGCCCCATCCTACCTGTGGGGAAGAGGGGCATGGCCTGCTCTGGTATCATGCGTGCAATCAGAAAGGCCCTTTACTACCCCAAACTGAGGTGGAGGGCATGGCAGAGGGAGAAGCATTCATGGATCTTACCATGATCAGCAGCAGACATTTACTAAGCATCTGCAAGCATGTAGAGTATCATGTTGGACAATGTGGAAGGTGAAAGAGACATAAAAACTTTCCACCTAAATTAAAGCATATCTTTTAAATTAAGAAAAAATTTAAAAGCATCATAGAACATGCCTTTGACTGAAAAAGGATAGTTGGAAAGATAGGAAACATACACAAGAATAAAAGCATTCCCATTTGAGTTCATCTAGGACACCACCAATTGCAAGATGCACCATTATTGTATTAAACTCTAAGGAGGAAAAGCACCACCAGTTGAACTGACAGCAACTGCAATATGAAGCCCAGTTCAGAGGATGTTATGTTAAAATGGGGGGTGGGAGGGAGTAAAAGAATCAATTTTTAAGTATCAGTGAAATACGTATACAAGATAGCACATGTTAAATCACAAATGAATCAAAGAAACAGAAACCTTCAGGAATTCTGCGGGAAAACCCATAATTGAGAGTTAAGGCAAAGAGGGAGACAACAGGAGCTGAGCCTGAGCCAAAGAAGCTTAAGTCTTTGGATCACTGAAGCAGAAGGAGGGCATTCCAGAAAGGGGAAGCACCGAAATCAAAGCCAGACAGGCACAGTGGGATATGACGTTTCATGCACAGCGAGTAGAGCAGTTGGGGTGGGTTGAAAGTGAGTACAGGAAGGTAGTGAGCAGGGGTTGAACAGGAGGAGGGTCTTCCATAAACGAGAATGCTGCTTAAACCAAAATGATCTGTGGGCTTATATCCCTCTCATCCGTGTTCTGGGTCTAAAGAGGAAAGGTTTTGTGGGACAAACAAGCTGGAGTCCCACAATGTTGTCATTCGTTCGTTCGTTCATTCATTCATTCATTCATTCATTCATTCATTCATTCCCCAATACTCACTGAGCATCCACTAAATTCAAGGTTCTTTGGATGAAATAAATGAATTCCATAAATTCTGTCTACTAAAGGAGATAAGTTTTTTACTAAAATAACCATGAAATAGGTATCATCGTTACCCCTTTTAAAGATGATGACACAGCGGTACAGAGAGGTCAAATAACTTGCCCAGCAGCACACTGCTAGTAAGTGGCCGAGCTAAGATTCAAATTCAAGCACTTTGACTCTAGAGCTTACACTTGACCACTGGACACACTGCATCTCTGAGGGCGGTGCAGAGAGACCTTGGTGTAGCTCAAAGGGAAGGGTCTCCTCGGCTGTAAGGGCAGGGAAAGAATTTGATTTGTGTGGCACTCTGGGCAGGATGAGACAAGGCATAAACTCTGTACGGAGGACAGTGAGTAGTAGATTGCTCAGATCAAAGCAATAATAAAAATCAAAAGGTTGCAAAGAGATCTTGAATGCCAGGGGCTTTACACGGCAGACAGAGAAGGATCCCTGATGGCTTTTTATCAGGGGTCAGATCTGTGTAATCTATAAGATGGATTACAGAGAGAAGAAAACGGAATCAGAAAGACCAATTAGAAAGTTATCGCAATACTTTAAATAAAAGGACTTTTGACCCAGGATAATGCCGGAGTTAAATTGTGGTCTTTGCTTTTTATTAACCTCAAAAGGTTACGGATGTACACTCCCCCAAAATACCTTGAGTCTTTGATCTATGAACTTATCTAAGGCTTCATGAGCTTTGCTTCCAGCATGGCATAGACTAGCATCATCTGTTCTGAAACAATGCCTCCGGTTTTCCATGAGCAGCACAGAGGGGAGAGAGTGGGATAGTGGGATAGACAGGGACGCCCTGGGAGATCGGCCCAGCAGTTGCTTTCCCAATCTTGGCAAGCAAACGTGTATTGTCCCTAACTGTACTCTATGCGCTGGAGACTTAGAACCGTTTTCCTCTCTGACCTTCTTTTTACCACCTTATACATCCTGAATTTTACAGTACTTTCCTATGATAGCCACCCCCATCAGATTAGAGCTGGGAGAGACTCCTGTGCTCATCTCACCCAAACCTCCTGTTTCAGAGAAAACTGAATCGCTGAGAAGGAGCAGGACCCGCCTCCGGCCACACAACTTGGGAGTGGTGGGACATGCCGCAGATGTCCAGCTCCCTGCCCCGCACCTGCACCCTCCCTCACTCACCTCAGACGGGCAGCCCCTGGAACGACTGTTCCCGGGGCAAGACTTCATGACTTTGGACTGAGAGACAGAAAGGTTGCTTGAGTTCTCAGTGACAGTGCCCATCCTTCTGCAGGTCTTCGTGGCCGCTCGAGCCTAACGGGGCACTGCATGGCGTCTGTGGGATCTCCCAGGTGCCTTCTCAACAGTCATCTCAAAAAGTCCTGTTTGTCTAGTTTGCCTGATTAACAATCTTTGCCTGATTAAGTTTTGAGCTATTTAATGTGGAATTGGAAGACAAGGCTTAAGTTGGAGGCAGGGGCAATTTATAGTCACTAAATGCCTACTGGCAATTTCCGTTTGGATGTTATCTACCATCACCTCAGACCCAGCGCATTTCTCTAAAACCCCTTTTCCCTCTCTCTGCCTCCAGTGGTCAGTCACCACGGACCGTGTTGTTTTCCCTTAACACCTCTTCTTTCCTTTCTTTCCTTTCCTTTCCATTCCGATTGGCCTTCTGCTTGGAACTTTGTGTTGGGCTGTGATGAGATAGTTGGGAATGGATGTGTAAATAGACGAAGTTTAAGAAAGAAGCCCCCCTCCCCAATTCAGTTTGAAATCTGCTTGCTTTGCACCTGTCAGGATCACAGGATTCTTTTAAAATGTTAGCTCAGGATCCAAAATTTGCCTTTATTCTTATTGGCTGGGAGGCTTTGGTTGTAAAAATCCATTTGTGAGCTTCCAGCTGTGACCCTCTGCATTTGCAAGGCACAGCCTCTCTGCGGTGGCTCCCCAGCTGTGGGAGTCTTGGTGGAGGGCCTCCGTCAGGCAGGACAGATTCGGAGGAGCTGCCCTCATGGCGAAGCTGGCCTGGATGCCACTAGGCAGGGTGAGGAATAAGGACAATCAGTCGCTGAGCTGAATCCCTGAATCCCTACTATATACAAGGCATGAGTGAGACACTGAACAGATTACTAAAAAAGTATAAGAATCCTCACCTCAAAGAGTCGGCCTGGGTAAAATGGGAGAAGAAAAGGCTAGCGGCATGTAGCAACAAATGAATTCCAGTTCAGGACAAGAAGTTTATGTCTTTAGCACCCATCCGATGTAAGGCATTAGGCCCAGTTCTGGATAAAGAGATCCAGGATAGTTTCTGACCACAAGGGGTTCATGATCTTGAAGGGAAGGCAGCTAAGAAACAATTATAGTACACTGTGATACACGTTCTTATGGTAGACGTCAGTCCAGCATACTTTGAGAACCTAAACCGAGATTGAAATCATCACTCTAATTATAGCTAAAAATGATCGAGCATGACTGTCTGCCAGGCACCATGCTATGCACATTGTGTCACTTTTTTTCTCTTTTCATTCGCACAGCTTTTTCTCATTTCATCCCTACAACAACTTTCTGGGTGGGAGCTGTTTTTATTTTCAACTTTCAGAGGAGGAAGCCGAGGCCCAGAGAGGTTTAGCAGCTAGCCGGAGGGCCCTGTGTATGTAACAGAGTCCGGGGCCCCGTGTGCAATCCACTCTCCCTGGAGGAGGCCCAGCCTGAGCAGAGCTAGGGTTGGGTTGGGCGGAGGGAGGCCCCACCGATTGCAGGCTCAGAGAAAAGCGAGGGAAGGGCACGGAGGGGACAGAGAACATGGCACGCTGTAGAATCTGAAGAGCTGGCCTGGTCCAAGAAGGCTTCCCAGAGGAGGTGAGTCTTGCACTGGGTTTTGAGGGGCAGCCCGAGGGAACAAGGCTTCAGCACAGGAGGAAGGCAAGGAAACAGAGTTGGGCCGTGGCAGTGGCCAGGCCAGGCCAGGCTCTAGGTGAAAGCTGAAAGATCAAAGCCCGAGACCTCGAGTCTGGGAAGCCGTGGTGATACGAGGTGGGAGGGGCAGAGTGGGGGCCACGGCAGAAGATGAGGTCAAGCTGTGCCCCCTGACCTGGTCTGTCCCCCCCTTCAGCCTATGCTCAGCTGCAACCGCACCAGCTCCTCTCGCAGCCGCCCTCAAAGCACCTGCAGCCCCAGTTTGTGCTCCAGCCGCAGCCGCAGCCCCAGCCGCCAGCGCCGCC